ATAGTTCTTTTCGGTCACAAACACAGCATTCTCGCAATTTTCTTGACATACTTCGGCATTAGCTCCATTGTCGTCGCATAAAACGACTAATCAATCGAAGCCGGAAACCATCAACATTAAATACACGCATGACGCCATATCTAATGCGCGCCTCTACAAAAAATGATCACAAATGTAAAATTATTTTTTTATTTTGTAATTAGTTAATTCGTTATTATTTTAAAAATAATTAAAAAATTTATGCATTTAATTTGATAAGACTCAAAATTAAATTTTCAGTTTTGGTTATTTTCGTCCGATGACGTCAGCTTTCCGCTCTTGGAATCTGGAAATATTTTATGGGGTTTAAATCCCGAATATGCTGGGCTCTGTCTCTCACCATCTGGCCGAACGCACAGTAAATGTAGAAAGGCCGTCTTAGTGTCCACAATGAGAAAAAAAATGAAAAAATGAACAATACTGTACTATTTCCGTCCTGCGGGTATAAAGAAGGCATTTTTATATCCCTGATGCATTCGCCAAGTCCGTGATGGAGGTAACAAGATGTTCCGAGATAAAACCCTATTTATCCGAATCAACCCTAGACGGCCGGATGACTGAGGCGGTAAAATCCACGAATTGCCGCACTGGGGAATCCGGATCAAATTCTGATAGGAATCTCCAGAAATTTTTCAGCTTTTGTCTGTCTCTGCAACGTTGGTCTCCACTCCTCGCTATCCGGCTACGTTATTATGAGCCTGGCGAATCCATATTAGATATGATTTTAAAACCTTCTTAGAGCCCACAGGACGAAAAGGATTAAAACAAAAATCCAGATCAACAAACCCGTGAAAATTTCTGAATCGACTAAAATCGAATTCCTACAATAACAGGATGGTGCTTTTACTGCCTAGTCCATTCAGTCTTATTCCACTCTGGATGTTTCATCAATTAAACTGTTAAAGTAAGGCTCCAGAAAGTTTCAGCTTAGTAATCCGTCACGGTTTCGCCCATTACGAGAGTACTGTAGAACAAGTACAGTACATGACTCTCAGTAGAGTGAGATTGATTTGATTTGTAAGGCCAATGGCGGATTACTAAATGTGCAGACTGTGCACATTTAGTTACCTGGTTCCTATTTAGATGCTATACACGTGAATAAAATCTGGAAAACTCCTCACGGCCAGCCGTTGGTAACGCGCGAACCTATCAGTGCTCAGCGGTTTTACCCACTCGGCCACTAGCGGGCTCAATCGGGTCTGTCAGCGTAATTGAGAAATGGTAAGCGATGCCCGACTGTTTATTCTTATAATGAATTTTAGAATTAATACTAGATTTGAATCAGGATTTCACTTTACAACACGGCATTCTACGGCCGGATGACAAAGCGGTTATGGTGTCAGCCTATCTCTCTGAAAGATCTTGGAACGAATTTGGACGGGCCGAAAAAACCCAAAAAGTTTGTAAAGTGGTCCGTCTCGGATATTTTAGGCCCCGTTCCTCTTCACTCGGCTCGCCCATTGTGGGTCACGACGGACTTCATTTAAAATCTCTCTTAATGCTTACAGACAGGAGAGTAAAAAAGATCGTAACAGGAAAATAGGACACTTTTTCCAAAATGTAGGACGTTTTTTCAATAAATAAAAGTAAGTTGCTAGCAAATACAGATATAATTTGAACTGTACAGTACAGTACATCATTGCATTTATTGCAAACTTTATTTATTTATATATCCATTCCCAAAAAACTTAGAAATTATTAATCAATATTAAATACAGAACAATAAAAAATTTGTTTTACTATTATTGTAAAAGAATGCCAAATTCTATAATAGTTTGTAATTAATATGTGAATTTAAATTATAAAACTTTAACATTCGAAAAACCTTCCCGAAATATTTAATTTAACTTTATGTTTTATGTACTGTACATAGAATTGCCATAAGTTCAAAACCAGAAATCGGGACTTTGTGAGATAGGACTGTCGTAAAATCTGATGGATATCTAGCCATTCTCGCCAATGGAATAGTCACGTGAATTTATCCGGATTTTCGTTACGTTTGTAACACCTAAATAGGCCCAGTTTCCCATAGAAAGTTTTTCCAGGAGTTAGCAGATCGCCCACGTGTCGAAAAAACGCCAGGAATTTTTCAGGTGGTGGTTCATTCGGAAATATGTCAGGACTCGTCTCTCACTTTCCGGCTACCCCATTGTGGACCTGGCCGAATCCATAATGAGCTTGCTAAAAGCGGCTTTCTTAGTTGAAATATATACTGTACTACAAAATTAACATATTGCAAGAAACACTCTTTTCTTTAAGTCGGACAAAGTCGGACAAGGGGAAGGGAAGTTATTGAGCTTCAGTGGACGTTCTCCCCTCCTCCTTGTTCGACTTGTCTTGACCATTACATTAAATTTTACAAAACATTAAATTTATAGTTTATACATTTTGTTATATTTCAAAATCTTTTGTATATTTCGTTTCTATTTACAGTATCTATCATTTGTATAGTGATAAAAGTTTTAAGGGGAGTTGATTTTTGTTAGTCGTCCGAAGAGAGGAGGGAGTTATGGAAACTTGGACAAACTGGGACAAGAGAGAAAAGAGAATGCTGCTGATGGTCCTGTGAAGACTGTCGTATGGCCAAGGTGGTAAAGTCAGCAATGTACAGTACCACTCTACAGAACACGGATTCAACTTTTCTTTCTTTCCACCTTTGGCTTTTTATCAAGACCATTGTGTTTTCGGCCAGGTGGTCAATGATGCGGTTAGAGCTCGACATATTCGTGACGGACTACTCCCGAAAAATTCTTGATGTTTTTTAACCTGTCCGGATTAGTTCCCCGATCCCTAGAGCCTACTGCTCTGGGGACTGAGGACGTAATCCAGAAGAGGTTGAATCCTGAAACACCTTAACTGCTGGCTATCCGGCAGTCAACCCGGGGTTCGACTGCAACTAATAAATTTTTCGTGAATGGTTTTCCTAGAAATGTTAGGTCCCGTTCCTTATCATACAGCCGTTCTCGTTGTGAACTTATCCGACTCAGGACAGATTTGAAAATGGATGCTTAAAGGAAAAAAGTTAAAAAATTAAAAGAAAAAAGACGATCCTATAAAATTACTGTGCATATTCGATATACTGGTACGGTACAAATCAAGGCATAAGACAATTTTTTAAAATAAAATATGAAAATCTGTGTCATGTCATTATTGGCTGAAAATTTGTTAATTCTGTTATTATAGAGTCGTTTCAATAGTCATTAATATGAAATATTGATAATTTAAGCTTTAGAAATATTATCTATTTTGCGTTTCTTGAATAATGAAATACAAATTTTCTTAATTAAATTTTCAAACTCTTTTATTAATTAGTGTACATAATGGTGCTGGCAAAAACTGAAATTCTCTAAATCTGCTAAATGGTTTTTAAATAAAGTTGAACCCTGGTCTGTGTTCTTCAAGGGAGTCGAGAAAAATATCGTATAAGTAAAATTACTTTGAATTGCTCTGAGTGAACACAGTAATCACAGAAGTAATGCATAGAAAAAATTAACACTGCAAACTGAATTTGTACAGTACCTGTACTTGCAATTCATAACAAAGAAGTTTAAATTTACTAAACGTATAATACATTTAAACAACATATAAAAGGAAAAATAAAACATTGTAAAATTCAGTAATGTAGGCTACTTTAAAAAAATTTGTTTTTTTTTTATTTTTCGATATACGAGTACTTGTACAGTACTTGTTACATCAGTTGTCTCTTTCCGAAACTCCGCTCACTTAAAGGAACGGTGAGTCATTTTAAAGATAAGCTTCACACTGACAGCACATAGTGAAGAGAATGAGAAACTGGAAAGCGATTTTTATTTGTATAGCAAATTAATTCACACCGCAAAACGTAGAAAGCGAAAATATTCACTTTTTGGATTGGAAGAGTGTTTTGCTAAACGGGGAAATTTCTCGGAAATAGCGTCACGTGTTACGTATTATTTGCTTTGCTTTTTGAATTTGTCGAATTCGCTCTTGGTGTTAACTGACATAAAGTAAATACATAATTCGTTTTTTTTCACTTTTTAATAATCGCTTTAAATTTTTCCATTTGAAAGTAAACAACACATAACTGGAAAAAATTACTGTAAGGTACCGAAAAAATATGACGCATTAGGGCGAAATCGTATAAATAAAAAATGTTTAACAGAAGTGTTTTATAATGGAGAAAGTACCACACAGAAAATAGTAGCGAGTTTGCGCACGACGTATGTTACGTTATAACGTTATGCTTAACGTACCAGTATAAGTGTAAGAAGTTTCATGTTAGAACTTTATTTTATGAAATGATGGAACCAATCGTATTTAACGTACAACTGAGAAACGTACAAATGGGGTTTTTTTAACACTTTCCGTATTGTGGGCACTAAGAGGGCCAAGCCCATTATGCATTCGGCCAGGCCCACAATGGGGCAGCCGGGTGGTGAAGGGTCCGACATATCCAGATGGACCATTTCTGAAATATTCCTGGGATGTTTCGACCCATCTGTGTTGGATCCGGTGATCCTAGATCCCCCGGAATTACAAACTGCTACCTTGACATCCGGCCATCCAATGGTGGAAGTATACTGTATTAACAATGTATACTGTATTGTATAATTTTCTTTGAATAAACGTTATACATAAAATACTTGAGTATTTTTTCGGCATGGAACGCATTATCGTTTACATTAATTTATATGGGAAAAATTGTTTCGCTTAACGAGTAAGATTTTGAAACGAATTGTGCTCATTAAGCGAAGTTCCCTGTATTTGGTTTATTTGTTTATTTTATGGCAACGCAACACTTGGGCAATCTGTCTAGGAGGATCCCTTCCGGGAGGTCTTTTTAAGGGAAACTGGCCACTATTCAGACGTTACACACGTGGAGAAAACCCGGAAAACTCCACGTAGTTAGCCCGTCTTGGCGAGGAGCGAACCCACGACCGGACCCCCAGTGTTCGGGGAACAGAACGCTTGCCCACCAGGTTGAAATTCATTAAATAATAATTCTAGTTTTAAAATCTGTTTAATATTACTAATGATGAAATAAAGATATAATTTTACTTGACAATGATTACTAATATACACAATTTACATATATAAGTTGATACATGTACTGATATACATAAAATAAGACGAGATCACATTAATATATGTACAACAAGTATACACGGGGGGATCACATTAGCACCTCGTAGAATACCTTATTTGAATTTCCCAAAAAACAAGAATAAACTTAATAATTCATATTAAAATGTTTTAAAACTAAACATAACATTAAAGAATTAACAGTACATTATGTTAAATAATTATTGATATAACTTTCTAAAAAAATAACAAAAATAAAACACAAAAATTTAATTGGGTTGCCGTGAAGAACGCCAATCTATGAACAGAAAATAGACACCAACTCCATAAGCGATTGTATTGAACAAAGCGAAAACCTGAAAAATGAAAACATTGTTATTGTAATTTAGTAAAATATAAATTAATTAATGAACAAGAATAATAAATGAATAATTTTGTATATTTCAATCATCCTAACATTGAAGAAAGTAGTCGAATTTTTGAATAATTCATTAAAAACCAAACCTTCAATAATGGCCATCTCTAAATAGTAGATATGTTTTTAGAAAGTTTAGAAATAAAAATATTTTTTTAAACAAAAATGCATACAAAATAACCCCTCAAACAACTGCCATTTTTAATATTTGCGTCAGTGGCCATTGTTCAGAGGTTTGACTGTATACTTTATAATATCAAAATATTATGTCAAAATGTAACATAAATATAATGAAGTTTTTCTTAGGTTCTCTACTTTATTACGTATTATTTTAAAGATATTTTATTAGAATTAATATTCCAATATTGAACATATCAGTTTAATATAGGATAATATAAATCAATTCTTACGAAAACTATAATAAATTTTATGAAAATGAAGACGAATTATTTGAAAATCAAAGGCTCGAAAGCATAAAGCATTATTAATGCTTGAGATTATCTGTTTAATTATTATCTACTTTAGAAAATTATCCCTCAGATTAATAAAAAGTATAATTTTTTCATTACTCGCTGTTTCTTTAAATCGACAATGTTAATTATTTTATTTTATGTTAATACTGTTATGCACATTTCAAATTCATTTGCCAATAATCATGACTAGCTTCTAGAAAATTATATAACTGTAAAATAAAATGCTTAATAAGCAATAAGACGATTTCCCAAGCAGACGTTCATAGTCTACTTACTTGTTAGTGAATATCAAGCAGGAATAATGAATTTATTTTTGTAATTGTAATTCTGTCATGCCTGCCGAGTATCCCAATAAACATTGAAATGGTAATGTTTATTGCGATACTATATATATAAACCATTTTAAGAGTATGATTTTCATTTTAATGTTTGTTCTTAGTTTTTGTCTGGGTATCATCTAGCATTTCTGCTAGTAGGTCTATATAAAGATGATAATAATATATATGTAGAGTATATAATATAATTGTATTATGCACTGAACAATATACAATCATTATGAAATGTTCAGTATAATTAAAGTTCGTAAACAGTTTGAAATTTAATGTTTTATCAATAAAGATGGAAATTATTTTATTGCTCTTCAGACAAGAAATGATAAAATTTTGCCAAAAATATTAATATTAGAATTAGGTCTACATGTACAAATTTACAAATTTATTATATAGACTATATATATAATTTATATATATACACACACATATATATATATATAATTNCCAAAATGTTATTCCCCTCAAAAACGTATGATATGATACTATTAATAGAATTACATAATGCCACTAACCTATTATTATTGTTATTAAACAGATACCAACACCTGTGAGCAAATTTTCTTTACATATAATTTATTAGAATACATAAAAATGGGTAGCTTGTAATAAAGAATAAACAAACATCATCTTATTTCATCAGTGTTGCGGCAGAGAATGAAATACATACAAAAGATAACATAAGAAACACAACAACATACATACATAAGAACATACAACATACATACATAAGAAACACAACAACTGTGATAAAAAATATATAAATAAAATTTGAAATTAACAGAATATGTAAAAGTTTACGTCACACCTTTCACCAAGTGACGGCACATCAGTGTGCCGCGGCACACCGGTTGCGGAACACTGTATTAATTTAACAAATTTTTAATAAAACAATTAATAATTTGTTAAAGTGTAAATAAATTGTACTATAAATTGAAAAAATATTTTTAAGCATAAAACATTTATATTTTTTTCTCCTTTTTTTTAAAATTTTAATAAAAAGTCTGTATTCTTGCACTTGCATGAAGCTGTATTTTTTAGCACGTTCTATTTACGGAAAGAAGACGAAAATTGACTTTAAGTATTAAATTAATCCAATATTTTATTGAAGGTTCATGACTAATGAAATAATGATCACTTTCCTTCCTCGTGTTTTTTGAATCACATTTTTCATAATTAATTAAATGGAAGAAATGTAAATTATATCTAAAGTATTTCTTGTAACTTCTACCAAAAATTATAATAATCAAATTTTTCTTTGTTTCAAAAGTAGCATATACAGTAGAGCGTCGTTTATCCGAAACGTCGGTTATCCGAAGGAATTCCAGTCGACAAATTTAAATTTTCACCAGTGCTGTGACGCTGTAATCTTCGGCTACTCAAATATTTTACTTTTTTGATACTAAATTAACTTTTGAAGTATAATTGTTTATTATTTTTATATTTTTCAATATATTTATTTTGTTTGTACAAAATAAAAAAATAATTTTTAACGATACAATAGTCTTCGTTAGGCTTAACATCGACGAAAATTCAACGC